CCTTCATGATAATCTTTAATGATATACATAATCCAATTTTAATTAATACAAGACAAGTATTTTGGGTAACGGCCATGTTGTGTTAAGGAAACGAAGAAAAGAGGAAGAGACATTAATCCTTATTCTGGTTTGTTCTGGTTTGGCAACTGATCCCACATCTCTTGGCCATCGAGCAGCCTCTCGACATTGAGCCTGACGCTCCACCTGGTCATGTCGGTCGATGGCTTGTCTTGCCAGCCTTCGTGGGATCCAATGTTGCTCATGGCGCTCCTTGGGCCCTCCGTTCTGTGGTGGTTGAAGAGAGCAGGTTGAATAGCCAGGCAGTTGTGGTTTCGTCGGCCCTTACCTCCCTCACAGTAAAATCGGAGGAGAATATCAACAGGGTCGCCAACATCCTTGAGAGCAACTTCTTGGAGGAGGGCACGTGCGCCTCGCTGGGTGACGGCGTAGCCAAGGGTGCAGACACCTTCCTGGGCGTGGTGGACGACGCGGGTGTGATCAGGATAGTCGTCCTTGAGAGTAAAGGGAGGGGCGAGGGACCAGAGATACCTCTTCTCCGGCACAGATTCGTCGTTGACACTAACAACGCGGCCTCTGGGCACAGGGCTGTCGGCAGGAGGCATGCGCATACCGCAGTGACCGACCCAGATAAGATCCCACATGTCGCCGTATGGCGTAACGGTTGCGGGTACAGTCTTTGGAAGACGGTTAATGGGGAATTCAGGGACTCCCTTGGGGGGCCCTTCAGGTGGGGGTCGGAAAGTCTTGTCTGCGAAGCTATTTGTAGTTCCAGCCAAAGGTTGAATTAGGGCCTGTGAGGACAGGGCCATGTCGTAGAGCTGCTGCCTGATTCTCACATCCCAATCTGCATCATCCTCCAAAATAAGAGCAGATCCGAGATTTCTCCTCACGACCCTAGGAAGAAAATGTCAATATTTGTAAATGAAGAAGAATGTCTAGTGCTTCATTTCAGGTTGAAGAATGAGAGAATTTGTCACAATATGTATCACTGGACCATCTGAGGTTCCTCTGAACTGGACAAGGGACGAGAAAGAAACTCACTCTTGCAAGGCGTTCATGTGAGCGCGCCAGCACCCGATAGCACCATTATCCAACCGATCATGCTCGGTGGTCTTGGGAATAGCCTTGTCGGCTACTTTTTCGCCAGAGATGCCATCAATGAATTCAAATTCCAGATCGGAGAAGGCAGCCTGGAGAGTGATGCCATCTCGGCGGTCAGTGCGCTCCGGCAAGCCAACCACAAAGATCTTTTCAAACTAAAATCAGGTAGAACGCGTTAGAAATGTGTGTTCGGATAGTAAAGGGGTGTGTTAAACAAATAAGTAGACGGGCATAGGCGAGTGAGGCTTACGCCGAGTGAGGCATTGAAAACGTCGTTGATGACATCGCCGGGCTTGTTGTTGCGAAGCAGGCCTGTGCCCTTCCAGTCGGCCATGCGAATGCCAACAGCGGCTGGGGCGGTCCGAGACATGAACAAAAGCCATAGAATCAGGAGGCCGACACCGATGCCAGCGAAGATGCGCGCTGGCTTCCGTGTAGCCATGTTGGGTGCCGGCGCTGGATCTGGCCTGACCTGGAGTGACCTGACGGGTGGAATCGGCGTGAAGCAAGCCGGTGAGAGTGAGGGCGAGCCCTTGGAGCAGCAACGGCGGGCAAACTTTTAATACGCTCCAACCAGCACTATCGCCTCGGCAGGGCAGAGTTCACAAAGGGGGTGGGCAGGTGGGGGAGAGAGGAACGGAAGAAGGTCATATAGATTGATGAATAGTCAGCCACAAATTCCAGTGACGGGCCCCCCTGAAATGGCTAAACGAGGCCTATCGTAAGGGTCCATGTCTGAGGCTGACAGAACAGCACGGCTCTGGGCGGTGATTGGGCCGCCCCGAGTAATTGGGGTCCGAAGACTGGGGCGACTCTGGAGGGGAATGGAGGTTGCACCCGCCCTATCTACGATTCCACAGGGAGCTGAGATGCTAAAATTATGTGCGGTGCAGGGGAGCCGTAATTGCGAGGGCCAGCGAACTGCGTGCTCGGCCCCATTCTGCCTGCCAAGTCGAAGGAAGGAACCAGCTCGCATGGCATCCAGTGTTGTTTCCGGAACTCACATCCGAATGAACGGCTGCATGGAAGAATACGGCAGGCCCCCGAACAGAAGCGAAGAGAAGGGGAGGCACCTTGCGCATTCCCATTCCACTCCACCCTTGCTGCTCACTGGCGTCCGTTGATTTGGATTCCATTGATTGTTGATTGATACATTAGAGCCCCTCCACCACGCCTATGGCACAGTCTACCGCAACCGCAACCGCAACCGCAACCGCAACCGCTGCTGCTGCATCGCATTTACCAAAGAACCATGGCCCGTATCTGATATATTAATCAACTGTCGCGTGGCACCAGCCTTCGGTCATACTAGCTCATGCAGTCACGATGGCAGGGTTCTGCTGAGCGCCACCGTCCCATTCCAACTAAAAATAGAGACCTGCCAACCCACCGTACCTCGTATGCACACGCACTATTGACTGACCTCTGCAAGAATCCATTCTTTTGAAAGAACGCGATGCGCGGAACACGCGGGGGAATAGCTCCACGCACCAAATCTTAACGGCGATGCTCGGTCGATCTCCTAGCCTTGGCCACTAAGGCAGGTACTACTTCAATCCTCGTAACGGTGTTGATGCTAGGTACTTGTTGTGTGCGCTCTTGGTCATCGGGGAGGGCTTCCATCCAACCTTTGCAACAAGACGGGAGGGCACGCAATTTCCCAAGGAGCTAATTCATTCATGTCTTCTTCCATCTTGTTCCTTCCTTTCAATTCCTCTCTCTTGTCTAAAAAGCATATGTATTACTCGTATCTTAACTAAAAGGATGCTTCTAGCCTTTGCTAGATTTGCTAGATTCCAGGCAATATGTGCCCTACCCCTACACGCAAGACAGTGCGAGCAGTCTATCTACCTTACATATTAACTAACCAACAGAAGTACTCTACCCCAGATTTCTTCGGTTACACATGAAAAGAATTGGGGGCCAGCAGATCACTCCCACTTCGCGAAGCCCCATGTCATGGATCGTCTACTTCGCCATATCTTAAGGTCCTTGACGCAAGATCTTGATTCATGTGTTCATTTGGAACTCTTCCGCTGGCTAGTAAATGGCAAAAAAGAGACTCTTGCGACCTCACCTGCCACAACTTCACGGTTTAGGACCTTGGAACTACTCTGACAGTACTCGCCAAAACCCCCAATCAAGTTTTCGTGAAGGCTGATAGAAAAAAAATCCAATAGGGTTTTTAATTGGCTCTTTGTATTATTTTGATAGCCGTCCTCGATGTCTGCCTGACTGTCTTCGAAGAAAGTGCAATTTACACGTGGCAGCGGGTGAATGTACGCAAGGACCTACGTCATCACGCAGCGGCAGCTCGCAACGTTGCCATAATTGAGTGATGGCCACTGCAAATCAAGTTGCACAAGTAGACCATGACTAACAAGAGTCTTAGCTATATCCTATTCCTAGGATGTGTGGTTGTGCGGAAATCAGAAAGCGATCCAAAGCCTGGAGAAAGTTGCGAATGAATTGGTAGATTCAGGCAGATTCAGGTAAATTCCATGATGACATGTGAAAAGACGTCATCACACAATGCACCACAGCAAATCAGCAATTGTGCCATTACCATGCAATGTGTCACTGTCAATACTCTTGAAACGAAATGGGAATTTACACACAATCGCATATGTAGCGCCAGAAGCTAGCGAAATCCACGACAAAACGCATTATTAATAAGGCATCACGCAATTCGGTCTCGGGGCTGATTCATCCAGGGTAAGCTGTTCGTGAGGGGCATTTCGTCAGCGCCGAACTCTCCAGAACCCCCACCAAGACCCGGACCCTTATTAGACCCCTCCATCCAGCATCACCCCGACGAGCATTCATTCCCCAAGCTACCCAATCCAGCCCTCGATACTATAAAATCTCTCGATCCTACAGAGATCTTTCAAACCCCAATCCAATCTAAAAAACAACAGAAAGTTTGTGTGTGTGAGAAAAAAGTCAGATATCCCACAATGGCCGCAAAGCAGGAAATCGTCCACGTCAACTCCTCCTCGGAGCTCCAGTCCCTCTTCAGCTCGACCACCTACGTCGCCCTCGACTTCTACGCCGACTGGTGCGGCCCTTGCAAGACCATCTCCCCCTTCTACGCCCAGCTGTCCGACAAGCACGCCGTGCCGGGGCAGCTCGCCTTCGCCAAGGTCAACGTCGACCACGTGCAGGACGTCGCGAGGCAGTACGGCGTCACCGCCATGCCTACTTTCCTCTTCTTCAAGGACGGGAAGCAGGTCGCCGTCAACGGGCAGGCCGCCATCCGCGGCGCCGACGCCCGCTCGCTGACCGCCGCTGCTGATAAGCTCGGCGGGCTGGCCAAGAAGAGGGCTGCTGAGGCGTGAGCTTGGACAGGGGCAAGGAAAAAAAAAAGAAAAAAGAAATGCACAATAAAAGGGAAGACTCAGAATAACGGAATGGAGAACAAAGGGCTCCATCCGTAATCGGGACGGGAAAAGCATCTGTGGGATATGGATGCCGAGTGGACATGTCTTAGGGCGTTACTGCATGTTATTTTTGACAGCGCGCGCGTTGCATTGTCTTTGCTTTGATAGATGGAATGAAAAGCATTTACAAACGTCTACTGCCTTTCTCGTGGCAGTTCCTATATACATTTGAATAACCCGTTTCGCCTAGAACTCGTAAAAACCATCTTTATCGTCCTTGAGCTCCGTATCGTGTACTCACTTGACCAAACAGGTCAAATCTGACTTGGTGGAAGGGAACCATGGCAAGGACCCAGGAAAGAAAAAGCAGAACATATCCTTGGATACCACCATATTAACAAAACAGATCCTTCTCTCCAAACGCCAGTTTCGCCAAACACAACTTAGATATTGTGCCACTCATATTCCTCTATCTCTTCATGTCACCTTTGGTGTTCTTCATTTTTCACCCATGCTGATCCAGGTAAACAGTGCAGTCGCGGCTCCGACGACGAGGATTGTGAGAATGGCGGCGCCAGCTCTATCGCCCGCTGTCACTGGCTTCGGAGTATTCTTGAAAGTGTCTGATTTGCTACCGGCGTTCGGGTTACCCTGGCTCGTTCCTCCAGTATCTGCACTCACGGGCCCGGCTGTGTTGTTAATCAGCAAGGACGAGAGGGCGCCGAGGACATTCATCTGCTGTCCTGCGCCAATGTTATTGTCAAAAGTGCGGTTCTTCCAATCAAACCCACACTGTCGACCAAGAGCGCCGCCAGTGCAGGTGGTGATGGCAGCTTCGGTCGAAAGCCGGAGCACGGGGAGCACTTTGTCGGTGATGAACGGGGCGACCTTGGTAGCAGTTGCATACCAGCGATGCAGGTAACCCTTAAACGACTTCATATCGGTAGTGCATGAGAAGTAGTCTTCGCATGTTGGCTCATACGCAACATTGTCGGGAAAGAAGGTGGCTATTCCATGATCAGTGAGTTGATTCACTCTGTCTTTCCACTTTTGGTCCTCGGTCTATAATTCTATTAGTGGATACAGGTTAAGATGTACGATGCGGCAATTGGAAAGCACTTACGAAGTTCCACATGTAGGCTGAGCCCAGGAGGAAGACGGCATTGTTGTAGGAAAATTCGGCCTTGTTGATGTCCGTGCAGTTGTATTCGACATGACCACCGTCGTATACTTCATCCTCGGGTCCCATCAAGCCCACACCGACCATCCAGTCCCAGGTTTTGTCTGCCCAGTCGGCGTACGTCTGGTTTTTGGTGTAACGCGCGAGCCTAGCACCAATGTTGAAGAAGCAGCCATTGGCAATACCTGTGCGACAAAAACTTGTTAGTCACAATTCGCTCGTGCAAGCCGTCGAATTCAGACTCGGGCCGCTGTCCTTACTGTTTTTATAGTTGTATCCTTTGTTTGTCGAAGGAATCTGCCAGCGCATTCCACCTCCGCACGAGCTATCGTGACGGAGGGGGTCAGCCATGGTGTTGAAGACGGCCTGGGCCAGCGCGAGCCACTGGGGCTTGTCGGAGGGCGGATCAGGAAACTTGTTCTCTGCCGCCAACATGGCCGACATGCCCCAGAAGCCCTGATCGTCGTTTCCGAGCGATAACGTATAGTTGATGGGCATGTAGTCTGCATGATCACCTGTCTGAAACAGCATGGCTTGTGATATCAACGAGTTGTAAGTCTCGTCCCCTGTCAAAGCCCAGTAGTCGATAAGAGTCCCCCACATAGCACCGCCCTCCCACCAGTAGTAGTCTCCCGCTGGCGGAGGCCCGGGGAGAATACCTGGGACATTGCCGCTCTCGTTTCCATGGTAGTACTGTAAGAGGTCCCATGCGACAGTGCTGGCCGCCTGTTTGATATTATCTGAACCAAGGGATTAGCTGAGTGACGACGGGAGATGGAAAAATTTAGAGGGCGGTATGAGTGACGAACCGGCAGTGTCGATCTTGTAGGGTGACGTAGCGGCAGTAGCAAATCCTGCTGCAGCGAGGGCCGTCAAGGCGGCGTGTATCCCTCCCGGTGATCTCATCTCGGGCAATGAAAATTTGCGTTGTGAATGGTGTATTCGCGAAGAAACGAAAGAAAGAGAGTAAGGCGACGTTCGTTTTTGATGGAGTGATCCAGGACAGGAATCCACCAGTATGCAGCCGCGAAGCGAGGGATGAGGCGGGCAGAACGAGTGGAACTATTACATTTCTAGGCGCGGGCCATTTGCGACGAAGAAGAATGGGCGAAAATGCGATCGGCAGCGAATGGCGAAGGGGATAAGACAGCCCCGAGCGAGGGAATCAATGGGGTTGGGGAAAGACAATGGGGAAAGGCGAGGTGAGGTGAGGCAGGGAAGGAGGGAAGGCAGGTATGGGAATTAGGACGCGCGCTGGAACATTTGAGGAGAGGGCGCTTGTCAACACGAGCAGCAGCTATGCGTCTGCCATATGATGTGAGACCTTCTCGAGCGACAATGTAAAGGTCATGTACGTAGCTCGTTTAAGTTACCGGCTGCTACCAGAGGGCAGCCTAGGGCCCAACTATCGAGCAGCAGCAGCGAAGCCACCCCCCTTGGGGTCTGGGACGCAGCCACTGGACTGGATCACCCGGACCCGAGCAGCATGCATCTGGACTGGCCTCCGCGTTATCAAGTCATTAGAGCGATTTGGGCTCGTATGGCAAGCCTCTGCCCGGAACTTGGGTGCCGAGGGAGGGGGGCTATCCCACGCGCCACCCGAAGGCGGCCATCGCTACAACTGTGACTGGAATGCTGGCCCGTGCCATCCGCCTGTCCAGCACGGGACTGCCAGAGGCTGCTGTGGGTGGGCGAGCAGATATGGACTTATTCACGTAAGAGGTTCGATGAGCAGAGCAGAGGCAGCAACAGGACGACGATGAATCTACGTCGATGTAACGGGACCTTGCGCTGGTGCGGGCTTGGCGATTGCTGAACCCACTCTCCACATTCTGCCAAGGCCAGTGGATTAACGTTGGACTGGGCATTCGATTGGGGTCTGGAGCTACGCTGCACTATTGCGTGAATAGGGCTGTGAATAGTCAATGCAAGCCTTCCTCATAGGCCATGGCGTACCAGGAGCCCCCATTCCCATCAGCGTCTGTTCCTGGATTGATTCGTGTTCCTGAATAAATGGCCCCGGTCTCCCGCCAGACGAAGTGTTTGTGTTTCAAGCCGATGCTGCGCCTCGACCCGCCAGGGACCTCCCGTTCTACTGGGGTCGCCTGTGACGATGCATGCAGGAACATTGACTTCACAAGCGCAACTCATCCATACATACCCGCCCCTTGACGTGTCGCCAATGGTGTCATGTCCATGAACGAGTAGTAGGGCAGCCGGCTTGGCATGCTGCGTCACGATGACCGTCTCATTCAGAGCCAAGTGAAGGGCCTGGGCTCTAAATAGTTTTGTTTTCTGCAGTGCACTAGTTGAGAAGGCTGAAAGATCTAGACCCTGCACATCATTGCAGGGCCCTCAATTACCCGAACATCGCGTATATTGCCAGCTACCGGCCCACGCACCAGCGACTGCAGGGAGATTTACCCTACTTCAGGCCGGGGTTTCCAAATTGAGTTGAGAAGCCGCTATTGTAAATTGCCCGCAAAGTGTTCTGAATATCTTTGCCGCCTTGAATCTGCGACGATTACAAATTCCCGGTAGACGGGCCCCTTTCACCCGAGTGTTGGTGGGCGATCCTTTTAGAGATGATGAATGGCAGTCTTCGCCAGCTTGCCATCCTTATCGAATATCAGCGAGTGCTCCGGTGAGAAACAATGAAGTCTTCAGTCTATCCCACATTCTGGATCGTTCCACGTGGCGACCCATCTTGAATGCGGGCCAAGAGCGAATACCGGTCTGTGCCGTGGACGGCAGATGCATCGTGCGCAGATCACTCCGTGCTTTAACCATATTGCGCCTCTTTTTGAGTATCGTACTGTACAATTTCCTTCTGAGATAATGTTAATGGGAACATATTCAGCTAAGGATAACATACAAGTCGTTATTGGCCCTCGTTCCGTTTGCGTATCCCTATTAGAAAGGTAAGTTGAACAGACGGATCAACCACTTGCAGTTTTGATGCACAAGCCGAAACCTCATGAACACTGAGGACATACTCAATACTCAGTGACTTTACAAGGCTGGAGGTTTAAATTAGGTAGGTATACGAGGGCTTAGAATTGCGTTTCTTTGGGACCATCTGAAGAAAGATGATAGGGATAGTTGTCACAATTACACACTGTAATCCGGCCGAGGATCAAATTCTGGTCTTTCTCCAGTACAAACCCAAACGAAGTCAGCTCTCATGCACAATCTTTCATCGTAGTGAGCGCACTGCTGCACTAATGACTTTGTATTCCTTCTACTGGGATCACATGTCTATTTTTTTCTATTTCACCAAGATACCGACCGACTAAGTTTTGTCGAGGAACCGAGGAAACTGAGCTTCATCTCAAGCTGAATTATGTCCCTTACTGGATGGAGATGGTCTTCTCGTGCAACTCGATGCTATATGCTACATTAGTATGTTATTGAAGAGACAGGTTAGAAGACTATCAACTTACTTGTACTTCTCCTTAAGCTCCTTCATGAGAGGCTCGTTGATGGCGTCAGTCATTGGTGCAAGAATACCCTTCTCAGAAATAGTGCCATTGAGGACATTCTTGACAGCTGTTGAACGATATTGTTAGCATCAAACACATTGCAAGTAATTTGACGAGGGAACCTACCAACTGCACAAGGGACTCCGACCAAACGGGCCATGGCAAAGTATCCCTTGGGGTCGCCGTTCTCGCACAGGGTGGATGTGCGGGTCTCGCGGCGGCCGTCCTTGTGCTCGATGAGGAACTTGTGCTGCAACATGACCAGATCGCGCTCGCCCTGCTCGTATTGCATCTTCTGCTCGAGTGTCGCACACAGGGTATCCAGAGGGTTACCCCTGGGGATGATTTTATCTTCCGAGAACAGGCCGAGCCATTGCAGACCGCTGATGATGCGCTGCTCCTCCTCGGGAGAATCGAACTTAGCCTTGGCGAGGACTGTGGACTTGAGATCAGCGGCGCTGGCTGACGAGGCACCGACGACGGCCTTGGTGGCCTCCTGCCATGAGATTGGCTTGGTGAGCGCCTCGATCGGCGTCTCCTCAAGGAAGCCGAGATCTACGAGCACGCGGATAAACTGTGGGAATCCCTGGTATCGAAGGGTGCCGCGCACGATGGTCTGGGCCTCGGGGATGTTGTAGCGCTCCTTGTAAATTGTCGAGTCACGGTTGGGGTACGCAACGAAAGCGTAGCCAGGGTAGATGTAGTATGGCTTTGCAGTGCCCATCAGATCCTTGCCTTGCACCTCGACAATCTTACCATCCTGCCACCACTTGCCCACGTTGCGGAGGGCCAGCAGCACGCCACGCGATGACCAAGAGAACTTGTAACCGAGAGGGTTGTCAGAGTCTTCGGCCGCGGGCAAACCGCCGCAGTAGCTCTTGAACTCTAGAATCTTGCCGCCCTCTCGGTGAACCTCGCTGATAGTCTTGACAGCGTAGAGATGATCGATACCCTTTAGTGTCATGGTTAGCACCTTTCTTCCGGAACTATCTTGTGCGGCAGATAGGCAAGCAGTGAGAAATCATGCGAAGTCTCGCATGCGATGTGTTTGATCTTTGGACGAATTCTTTCGATGAATGGAACTACTCACGGGATCCAGCCCAATCTCGTTCATGACGGTGATGCCAGCTGCCTTGGCCTCAGCATCGAGCTCCATCATGGCGGGTGAGACGTAGCTGGTGGTCACAACGTGCTTCTTGTTGCGGATAGCGGACTTGATGACCACTGCGTGGAATGTGTAGGGAATCAAGCTGACAACCAAGTCATGCTTAGCGACGGCGGCGTCAAGAGCCTGCTCGTTGTTGACATCAAGTGAGACAGGGGTGGCGAGCTTGACACCCTCGGAGAGCTTGTTGGCGGTCTCGATGGTTCTGCAAGCTATACAATGCCTAGTTAGAAAGCTAAAGCGAATTTAAAGGAAACGAAGCCATGATTGATCAAGAGAAGACAAGAAAGTGGCAGAAAGTGGCAGAAAGAAACAGCTCGCATACCGACAGTCACGGGGATCCCGGATTCACTGAGGATATCTAAGGTCGGTCGGGCGACGAACCCGGCTCCGAGCAAGAGAACAGAAGGCATTTTGATAGATTGTGCTTCTATATGACCTCTGTACGAAATAAAATGATGATCTAGGAGCTCTATCAATGGATTGAGCTCGTTTAGTTCTTGGGAAGCTGTTGTAGAGTGAAAAGATGGAGGGGCAGCGAAATCGGAACCCCTCCATTGATAAACCCTTGTAGAGGACCCGCTTTGTTTCACCCCACTTAAATGGAAGCCCTAAAAGGTACGAGGTTTTGGTAAGCCAAGGAAGGTGCTGCCTTTAAGGTCCTACCAACGTATTTGCATGAGATTTCAGAAAGATCTTACAGAGCGCGAGCAAGTCAATACCTTTTTCTCTAGAGCGGATGCTGAGTCTCAAAGTGTTTGCGATTCTCGCTGTGGTTCAATGGACTCGGCAAGCTGGACTTCAAGAAATCGTCAGCAACTCTACCAGTCAACACATAATTATCCTTTTCTGGTTCTATATAGTGGGTCAAGAGCATCCATTGTCGTCCGTAGACGAATGGCCTGCTCTTTGAGGGTAGCGGAAGAGCTGGACCAAAAAAATCAAAGCCGTACGCTTCTTCGACTTGATCTTCTCTAAAGCCGCTGCCATGACAACCTCCCATAAGTCTACCACTTCAAGATTTCACTTTCATGGGCTTTTCTTTTATAATATGATTCAAGCAATGCCCTCAGTAGTCCTGAGATGACCACGGGCTCTTAGAAGCGACGTCACCCAGCAGCTTTAGCAGTATGTTGGGTCGCATTCTCAAGCTACGGGATCTGCTCCGTGCTTGAGGTGGATATTTATGGAGACGACGGCACCTAACCTGTGCCGATTCCAAGCGAGTGGTGATGACTGACTACGCTATCCTGCGCACAGGTTAGATGACTAAGCTATCCGGCACACAGTTAGCGGACCGGATAAATAATATCCCAGAATTCTTGCATAACAGGAATGGACCCTGCCAAGACCCCCAAATTGGCAGTCGCCCTGCTTCCAGCCAGCTGTCCTTACGGGCTGCTAGATGAGCCAGGACCCCAAATATGACGAATCAGCCGCTGGAGCTGAACACTGAACCGCCACGCGTGCAACCTCACAGCAGTTGTTAGCTCAGCGTGTTAACAACCGTACCTCGTGCAATTGAGCGCAACCGCTAGTCGAAGTTGAAGCTATCCTCTCATTCAATTCGCCTGTTTTCGTTTTCTCTTCTTTCTTTTCTTCCGCTATGTGGTAGTTTCGGACCTTCCTTGACGACAGCCCGTTTTAAAGACACCCCGAGCTTAGTCGACCTGCCATCCAGCTCAGGTTACCGAGTATCGAGCCACACAACCCAGCACTGAAGCGGCGCATCAATTGGCGGAACGACATACACCATGGACGGCTTCGAGAAATCGAGCCTCGAGGAGGACAACTTTGGCGCTAGCGGAGGCATTGTCAAGGCGTTTGACGCATTCCGTATGGCCTAGCCTACCCAACTCCTCCCAGAGAGCTTGAAAACTAACGTTCTGTGAAGCCAAGTCGAAGCCCCAGTATGTCGAACGGACGTCGGACGGCGGCAAGTGGACAATAGCCATGCTCTTCTTTTCTGTCCTGTTCGTCTGGGCCGAAGTGTCCCGCTGGTGGGATGGAACCGAGTCACACAACTTTGCCGTCGAGAAGGGCGTCTCCCAGGAGATGCAGATCAACCTCGACGTCGTGGTCAACATGAACTGCGAGGACCTGCACATCAACGTCCAGGATGCCGTTGGCGACCGCATCGTCGCCAGCGCGAAGCTCAACCGCGACCCGACCGTCTGGGCCCACTGGGCGACTCGCCAGGGCGTGCACAAGCTCAACCACGATGAGCACGGACGTGTGGTCACGGGAGCCGGTTGGCAGCAGTTCTCCATGCACGAGGAGGGTTTCGGAGAGGAGCACATCCACGACATTGTCAGCCTGGGAAAGAAGAAGGCCAAGTGGTCCAAGACGCCCAAGCCAAGAGGACAGACTGACAGTTGCCGCATCTTTGGGAGCATGGACCTGAACAAGGTTCAGGGAGATTTTCACATCACTGCCCGTGGCCACGGCTATTACGAGACTGGCCAGCATCTTGACCACAGCAGTAAGCGCATCTCCAGCTCTCATCTTCATAGCCTCGTAAAGATACTAACTAGGTTGCAGAGTTCAACTTCTCGCACGTTATCAACGAATTCTCCTACGGCCCTTTCTACCCCAGCCTCGAAAACCCCCTCGACCGCACTGTCAACTTGGCTCCTGCCAACTTCCACAAGTTCCAGTACTACCTGTCGGTCGTGCCAACCCAGTACACCCACGGGTCGAAGACGATTACGACGAACCAGTACGCAGTCACGGAGCAGAGCGCTGAAGTGGGCGAGCGGTCGATCCCCGGCATCTTCATCAAGTACGATATCGAGCCAATTCAGCTGTACATCAAGGAGACCCGCGCCACTTTCCTCTCCTTCATGCTCAAGATTGTCAACATCATCAGTGGCGTGTTTGTGGCCGGCCACTGGGGCTTTACGCTCACCGACTGGGCAAAAGATATCATTGGCAGGAAGCGCCGAAGCGGCGGAGGCGTGGGCGTGATCGGCTCCAAGGGTGGATTTGATGACTAGATTGTATCTGTAGAAGGTTCGAGGAGCGTCGTTTTGTGTGTGTGTGATAAAAGGACAGAAGAACGGGAGTTATTGGCGTCTTGAGCTTTGGGAGCTGTGCGACTTTGAGCTGTCAATCTGGTGCTGGGACATTTTGTATTATTGCTATTGGTCATCTACGCGCATCATTGAGCCTTTTCTTGGTTTCCTGCTCTTACACCGAGTGTCTACAGAATATCTGACTAGTTGCTGAGTGAGATGAATGTGCAAATCCTGAAAATTGAATCAATAATAAAAGCACAAGTTCTTAGTACGTGCAGCTGGGTGACTGAAACAATGAGAGATGGAAATAGAATGTATAAGCAGACCCTTTTCGAAGATGACTAGGTGGGAGACCAAAATAGTAAATATGAAACAATACCATATATTCAGTATATTGTTTTCGGAATTTATTATGAGCCCGCAATACTCTGAAAGTACTTTTCGCACATTTGACAATAAGTAGTATAATGTCTGACTGTCCCAAATACACTTGACATGGTATGTGTCCTCTCAGTGGGAAAAGCTGCATGGAAAAGGTGGAGGGGTGGATCTTTACAGCGGTGGGTAGCAGCTCCACTGGAATTCGGGATGGATGACGGAGCCCAAGGGAAAGAAACAGACGGGTCATCTGCGCAGTGCAGCAGACGTTGTCTCGGAATGGTGTGTGGTGGCTCCTCCGGGAAGAGCCTCTATGTAGGTACTTTTACGCAGCCGTTGTCTCTAGGCTGGAATCGCTGCGATGAATTAGACTCGCTCCTAGATCGATCTTGCGTGTGGAGCGGAGGCAAGGCCAGCAGCAAGCAATACATGCAGCAGGGCTGGCTGATCCAGACTACGAGGCGCCATGACGACATCACCGCCAGCAGGGTGCGGCCCGGAGGACAGCTGGGAGTTCGCTGCGCTGGTGCTGGAATGCGGGAGAGGCCTTTGCCGTAACGGGGCCTAGGAATTCCGTCCAACTGCCGGCCAAATCAGAGTCCGAGGTGGCACGTCAGTTGTTGCAGAGCAAAAGTCAAAAACAATCCATTGTCATGTCAACCTCCACGGTGCCGCGTGGGTCGCTGGAGCCACGTCGGTCTAGCTGCGAGCGGATTGCGGTGGCAAGGAGCAGAATCATGCTTCCTGCAGACTTTGTGGGTGGGCAGGGACAGGCTTGTACATTCTCACGGGGTGAGGAATGGGCCATGTCCCAATATCTCCCCAAGTCTAGTAATTGTTGGCCGACCGTTGGAGGACGCAATGTAACGCAATAAAACGGTGGTCGAGGCCGGCCATACATAGTCCAAACAGAGGCCGCCCGTCCAGAGAGGGTGGTCACAAGGCGGTGCTATGTATGAGACATACAGTAGCCGGTGCTCAGGCTAAAGGCAGGCTTCTGACACTGGCCGCTGCCACCGCTGCCGCTCGCAGGTCTTTTCCGGTCATGGGGGCGCTTGCACATAGCAGTGTTTTCATGGTGGTCCTCGTTGGGTGCCAAGTGCATAGCCATTGGATGACGTGCAGGAAACTCACCCAAGGCCGGGCTGGTGGTTCTGCAGCCTACCTTGTGTGTATGTATATACAGTGTTGATTGTGCTGTGCTGTGCGATGCATAATAAGGAGGTGCGCTCGGAATATAAGAAATCTCTCATGTTTGGAAAGGATCAGTTTCAGGCCGCGACAACTGCGAGCGATCACGGCGGCCCAGCGATGGGACAGACCCGTGCCCCGAAGAGATCTGGCGATTACGTAGGGCGTTCTTGTGGAAAGAGCCCTGGTGCGACGGGGTGCTGGTGCGTCGAGCGGTGGAGATGGAAGGTTACTTGGGCCTTATTACTGCATGATAGAGAGTGCTGGAAGCCGTGTATAAGCAGGCTGCAGGGGGTGGGGGGCTTGGATGGGCGTCTCCTCAGCGTTGCGACAGGGGTCCAGTCATGCACCAGTCATTCAGCATCACTGCGGATTTGCTTGGGCAACCCCTCCCCCTCCCCGTCGTCTCGTCTTGGGCTGGCTCTTTCCCGCCTCGCCCTGCCTCGCCTTGCTTCGCCGCAGCTTATTCCTGCGACTTACTCTCTTACATATTCCGCTGCTCCTGCGCAGGCGATCATTTCCCCGTGTTTATTTTTGCAATCCTTCTGCCTGTGGTTATAATAATCTTGCATCCATTCTCTTCAACCACAGAGCCAGCACACACATTGTTAGCGATACCCAACAGGACGTCATTGGTTGGGCACACACATATCCTGCCGCAACACGTCCTCTCACCACTCAGCCGCACACTACCTAACCACTCCCCTTCATAACTGCCATTGGCCTCGACTCCCTCCTGTCAAGTGCCCAGGGTTGTAAGGCGTAATTTCATTATTCACAATGGGGGACGGATACAGAGAGTCCCGCTACCGGGACCGCGATGGCAGCGAGTCGGGCGAGGAGCGATACAGAACCACAAAGGTCCGTCGCTACAAGATCAAGCCCGGCCGTGACGACCACTACGAGAGCTTCGAGGTCGATGACGAGCCCCGGTCCCGCTACTCTGGTATGCCCGTCCGAACCCGAGATGACTACTACGACTTTGACCGTCGCCCGGAGCGCCCGCGTTCAGAGTTTATCCCCCGGTCGGAGCATCCTGACGACCGCCGTAGCGCCTACTATGAGCACGAGAAGGACTTTCACAAAGACGCAGACCCAGGCCGTATCACTGTCTGGGAGCCCAAGGAGAGCGACGTGGACTTCGATCGCCGGTCTCGCTTTAGCCGACACGACGATGAGATTCGCGTCGAGAAGGAATACGAAGGTCGATACAAGGATTCGCACGGCCATGATGTTGACCGAATCCAAAAGGAAACTGAATACTATATCCGACCCAGCCCTCCCCCTTCCCCAGTCATAGTCCGCCAGCGAGCTGAGCCCCAAAAGATCATATTCCAGGAAGCCCCGCCCCCAGCACCCATTGTCGTACCGCGCCAAGAGCCCAACATCGTGATGCTGAGGGAAAAGGAGCCTGTCCGTGAGATGGTCCGGAGGGAAAAGGAGCCCGCTCGGGAGATGGTCCGCAGGGAGCGGGATAGGCCGGAGGAGGAGTACTACTACCGCCATGAAGAATATGATGGCCCCTACCGTAGCAGATCCGACCTCGACAGGGAGCGAGATTACGCTCTAGCGCGGATGGACCACCACCACCGCCGTCATCACGATAGCTACAGTGACGACGAAGACTACTATGTCCACCATCGACGAATTGTCCGGAAGGAACGTAGCGAAAGCCCGCACCGCAAGCGCATAATGGCTGCCGGTGCCCTTGCCGGCGCTGGTGTTACTGCTCTGCTCTCTAGTCGTCGTGACGAGAACGGCGAACTGCCTGAGCACCGCCGCCGAAAGGTCCTCGCTGGTTCGGCCCTGGGTGCTATTGGAACTGAGGCCCTTAGGAGGGCTTACAGTGCCCATGAGGAAAAGCACGGAGGCTCGCCAGATAGCCACTCGACTCTTAAGAAGGCTCTTGGCGTCGCCGCTGTCGGTCTTGCTGCCGCTGGAGCGGCCAAGTATATGCAGGCCAACAAGGTCGACAAGGAAGAGTCTAGTCGTGGACGCAGCCGAAGACGCTCGCACTCAGTCGCTACTTCCCGTTTCGGCTCAGGATCGCGGGCTGGATCTCGTAGCCGAAGGCGAAGCGTTTCAGTCGCCAAGGCCGCCTTAGGCACTGCCGCAACGGCCGGCCTCATCAAGAAGCTTCGTAGCAGGTCGCGGAGAAAGAGCGGAGACAGGAGCAGGAGCAAATCTAAGATTCGCCACCTGGCTGAGATCGGTGGTGCCGCCACCGCTGCTGGTGTCGCTGCGAAGCTTTGGGACAAGCGCGCTGAGAAGAAAAACAAGGAAGATGATGAGCGTGAGCTAAGCAGGGAGCGCGAGAGAAGTCGACGGCATTCTACTCGAGGCCGAAGCAGGGATCGAAGCTGGAGCCGCAGCCCGAGCCGTGGTCCCAGCCGTGCCTCGAGCCGTGCTCCTAGCAGGAGCAGGTCAAGAGCTCCCTCGGCCCGCAATCGCTCTCCTGGTTCCGAGATTGGCTTGATCGAGTATGGACATGATCCCCTCGGCCCTCCCCCTTCCAAGGCTGCACACGGATATGAATCTGAAGCCGAGGAGAGGCGACGTCGACAAAGGAGGTCACGTGGTCGTTCTCACTCGTCTGACGAAGGCGAGGCAAGGGACAGGCATGCCCGCAGCAAGAGCCGTTTGCGCGACATGGCCGCAGGCGGAGCTGCTGCGCTCGGAATCAAGGAGTTCAGAAGCCAAAAGGAAGAGGAGGACCTGGATAGGAGGTCCCGAGAACGGCAAGCGAGAGAAGAAATGCGACAACGTGACCGGATGGAAGGGCGTGATCGCTCGCGGTCAAGGTCCAGAGGTATGAACACCCAGGATGAACATGGCATTGAGTTAAGCTAACACGTCATTATTAGGAGGCCCGAGAGGCCCTGACTACTTCGGCGATTACAATGGCCGCACATCGCCACCAACCGCATCTGGAGGTGCCTACTATCCACCGTACCCTTCCACCCCTGGTGGCGAGGAAGGTCCCGGTGGTTACGGCAATCCTGCCATGCCAGAGGCTAATCTGTACCACAACAACCGATACGTCCCTCAGGACTACACCGGTTATGTCCCACCAAGAACTCCGGGTGAGAACGTGGGCATGGGAATCAATGGAGGCGCGGGGCTCCCGCCTGCTCCTCCAGCCGGCCCGCCCCCGCGTCCCCGCTCCTCAACGGGCAATTACCCCCCAGAGCATGTGAGTGAAGATCCCTTGTTGCGAGGGAGCGAAGAGGGTGCGTCCGATCGGACTGTGTGAGCTTGACCGGGCGTGGGAACTGTATTGACTGACTCGGGTTTAGCTGCCGTAACGCAACCGCAACCCCAAAAACCTCCAAGTGAAGCCCCCAGACCTCCGACCGAAGCACGGCCTCGGGCCAAGTCTGTGGTGTTTGGCCCTCTTTCTCCAAGAAGCTCGGTAACAATGGAACGACACAGGAGGGGATTTTTTGATGAAAACAAGGACATGAAGCGACCAGCCCCTCTCTTACTTGAAAACGGACCTTCAGACTCTCCTGACACCCCCGATTCTCCTGAGAAACCTAAAGATGACCGCTCTGGCCAAGACTCATCGTCAGAGCGACGCATTGTCCGTATCCGACCTCAAGATCTCCTTGCTGGCTCTCAAGACCGGGCCCGTCAACGTCGCGATGAGAGCAACGACCGCAACAAGCGCGATGAGGGTGGTGATCGCGATGACCATGACAAGCGTGGCGAACATGAGGAGCGAGAGCGTTCGTCGGAACGACGCATGGTCCGTAGACCCTCCAGGAAATCACGCTCTCCCGCATCGGAATCGGACGATGATATTGAGATCCTTCCCGACCGCTTTGATGATAGTGGCTCCCCCGTAAGCGAACATAGACATCGCCGCTCCCACCACCGGAGCAGCCGCAGCGCCGACTACCATCATAGGAGTCGCCACCCTGACGATCAGGACAGGCGAGGTTCATTTCAGTTTGGCGGGGCCGACCCTCAGCTGATGGACACCGTGGTCCGGGGCGTCACGAGCGTCATGGAGGGCAAGAAGAACTGGGTGTCTTTACTGGGCGACGTACTGGGCAGCGGTGTAATCGGGGGTCTTGGCGCTCAAGCGTTGCCGGATGAAGACGAACACGATCGCAGGCGGCATCGACATAGATAATGACCTAATGACTGACATGTGACGACGGATTTCTTGCTTTATTCTACTTCTATATTCTATTTATTTACTTTTTCTTCATTTCCTTGCTTGGGTCTCTTCTTGTGTTCTTCTTGGGTGTCGGGCTCATGACTTGGTTACTCACGAGAATGACGATATGATATGAGTATACATACTTATGACGTTTAGATGGGACATTTTGTGATATCTTTTATGTAGAACTGCTTTCAAGCAATGGCAAATCTTTTCCACTGTGCATCGCTTTTTAGTATTGCTCACTGGGAAATCGTGTGGTCGAAGATGTTCAAGCAAATGTAAACTAGGATATCGTATTGTTGCCGCTTCATCTACCAGTTCCAACTCGTAGATCTGTCAAGACTATTCAAAAGGAAAAAAAGAAAAGATCACTTAAAAAATTCCAGGGTACGGAAACGACGCTGCACCAATCTGTACAGGGTATCACAATGCTTGGCAACGCGTCAACGCAACCTTTATCCCAACTTTGCCCTCTGGTCCTCCTTGTCCCCAATTCCTTGGGTTCAAACTGCCACTTAAATTACCACTTCCTTTTTGTAACATCCTTTACCCCAACCCGATTGCTCGAGAGTAGGGCAGAGACCCCAAATATTAATCCAGATATTGTATGTCCTCGTTTTGCTCTCTAGAACCACACCCCTGGGGGAATAGATACCCCTTTTTATTCCTTCTTCATGAGGTACTCCTTGTTGCCGGTCACCTTGCTCCACATGGTCTCGAGGATACCACGGTGGGGTCGGCGCTTGCCGGCGCCCGTGGACATGTCGGCCTTGAGCTTGTCGTAGATGGTGGGGAGGGTGTCGGCCTTGTACTTGGCGCGGATCTCAAAGTAGACGTCCTTGTCGTAGATGGTCCAGAACTCGTCCTCGGTGTAGTAGGTGCGTGCGTAGAGCAGCTTGGCACCGAGGAGCTCTGCGCTGCGCAGCTCCAGCTTGCGGTTGAGCTCGACAAAGGCTTCGTGGTTGTCGGGGCCGCGACCGTAGACACCGACGGCGAAAATGCGCTGGTCAGCGACCTCGGCGACACGGGGGTTGAAGCGGGCAGTCAGGCCGATCTCACGAGCGGTCTTGCAAGGAGCCAGGAAGATCTGGAGCTCGGGGAGGGTGTCGTTGACGAACTGGACGAACTGAGCGACGGTGCTGGAGGGGATACCGAAGTCCTGCACGACGTACTCGTCGGCCAGACCGGACTTGTGCAGGGCCTGGTAGCAAGTACGGCTGTCCATGAAGGGGTCAGCGAGACGGCGGGTGATGAAGTTCTGGGGCACGCCGAAGTGGGTGAAGGCGAGCTTGCCACCCCAGAAAGCACCATGGTCGTAGCGGAAGAGATAGTCGGTCAGAGTCATGTAAATCTTGGCGGGGTTCTCGCCAGTGGGCTTCTTGTCGAGGTGAGCCTCCATGGTGTCAGCGAACCAATGCACCTCCATCTTCTTGAGAGCACGCTGGCCCTTGGGGACAGTATCGATGAACCTGCTCAGCATGACACCGATTCTGTTCTTCTTGAAGTAGACACCGTCAATGAAGTGGATGGACTCGTCGGTTGTCTTCTCCTCGAAGATGCCGTGGGCCGTCACGACATCCTCGACAAGCTGCAGCTCGACCTCGACGTACTTCTGGGCGGGGATAAGCTCGACAGTGCACAGGGTGACGATACCGAAGGTGCCCAAGCTACCGGCGGCGTGCTCGAGGAGGTCGGCGTTGTGTTCATGGTTGGCAGTCTCGAGGGTGCCGTCACCAAGGATGATCTCGATCTCGCTCACGGTGTTGCTAAAAAGACCATACTTGTACATGCTGCTCTCTCCGGAGAAGCCAGAGAATCCACCGCCGACGGTGATACCCTTGAACTCCATGACAATCTTGGGGATCACACCCTCCTTGATGCAGTGGGCGGCAAGGACGTCCATAGGGACCTTGGGCTCGCACTGCACAGTCATGGTCTCCTTGTTGACGGGAAAGATGCGGTCCATGTCGCTGGTGTCGACGATCTCATCGCGTTTGAAGGACATGGGGCGGGTCGAGCTGGTCGAGCCATGGTAGATACGGAAGGGCTTCTTCTCGGCGTAGAAGTGCTTGACCCGTTCCTGAATGCGGGCGACGGCCTTGTTGTGCTGCTCCATGAGCGCGGACTGTTGTGTTTGGGCCATGGTGACTGGAGCTTAGATTTTGCTGTATAGAGTGGATGGAGGTTCAATGGGGTCGGGAAGGACAATTGGAGGATCCAATTGAGCTGGGGATGGGAGGCAAAGGAAGGAAAAAGAGAGGATGGGTTGAAAGAGAGTGGTGGCAGAGGTAAGATCAGGATTGTGACCTTGGAAGGGAAGACAGCAGGCCGAGATGAAGTGTGGGCATTGCGGCTTCCTGGACGGCTGGTGGGGAAATTAGCATTGGCATTAGGCGCCTTGGATACTGCTACGGGCGCCGGACACGCTATGCAAAACAATTATGCAGAGCTCTACAGCGCTGCGTATGTTTTGTTGGCTGAGTATCCGTGGTGACGACGCCTGTAAGCACGCCAAGCTTGGAGAGGGCGCAGGGGAGCTTGGGAGCTACGGTGGAGCTAGCCTGTTAACCCACTACGTAACTTTACCTAGGCCCATTTTCCCAGGCACAAGCTCGACGTTAAACTGTGGCCCAGCAGCTTACGTGCCTCCCTGCTGCAGCGCTGATTGCCTACAATGGCAGCAGACATTCCACGATCAGCCCAGGCTTTAGATGCGGAAGCCACGGAAAGCACTGCAGGGGTTAGTGACTCCTCGTACAAGCCAATTTGATGCTGCATTCTTTTCCTTTATCCCCTGCAGTCTTGCATGTGTTGAAATTGTGAAACAGGAAATAAAACACGGGTGCAAGCAAGTGGGAGTTAATGTAAAGTTAATCAACCAGAGGCGCACCTCAAGCGTACCATTCACTTGCTAGCAGCGACGTCACAGACCACTTGTCACATCGCTATACGCAGCTGCGGAACCAGCCTCGATGGAAAGCATGATGATCCTTGCTTCTTGGCGGTGACCTCCTCTGTATGGCCAGTTTGAGCACAAGATCCATATTGCTTTAGCACTACAATGGGAAGTATCAAGTACGCTCCCCTTGATCATATATGTAGTATTAGAGAGTGGAGTATGGCACGGCAGACAAGCTCATGTTTTAGTTTTTTATGGCATAGAGTACCTAGTAACATCAATCATTTGATTAGGTGGCCGTGAGGTGAGATTGTTCTTCTCAAATATTAATATACATGAACAAGATTTCTACATTGCTTTCCTTGTAGGTAACGCAATGCTATGGTCAGAGAACCTCATGCCACACATGTAGAGGTTTTATACTATGGAACACTGATCCTTCACAAGGAATACAATTTACATCTGTCTTTCAGAGCGGCACTTGGATGAATGCTAGATTGGTACTTGGCCAGTTTATCTAAGCGGCGCTTTGCCAAGTTCCCCATTGAAACGTCATAATTTGTTGTGGCCATACAATCTCCTCGGGGGCTATGTTCACACCGGTCTTGTCACCTTGCCTCCCCTTTGCTAAGCTATCGGTTCCACGCGGCAATTAGTCTCAAAATAGGCGTCGCCAGATTTCTATGCTATTCATCTTAAGCGATTACTGAATGGGGGAGGCATGGAATTTAGACAAGATCCAAGTGCTGGACTACCAGTAAAGATATCCAGGGCGGAGTCTTAAATCTAATCCCCGACAGATCAAGTGGAACCTGACCTCCTCAGCCAGCATGTTTCGACGGAAAGAATAGACATGAAAACGAGCAGTAGCTAAGGATGCATATCCCAAAACCTGTATTTTTGACTCTATGGTATGACCCTCTCTATAAACACTGCACGCTCGACATTTACATACTCGACTCTTCTCATCATAATTCATCCCGGGCGGGAGGCTCCTTATCCGGCCGCCCACTGTCTGCGTGCAAGTTCACCGCACTCTTTGCCCTCCACTTCTCCCACGTGTCCCAGAACTCCGACTCGATGCCCTTGTCGAGCTGGTCGGGTAGGACCACCTCGTATGTGACATAGAGGTTGCCAAAGTCATGCTTGTGGTATACACTATCACCATCCTCATGCCAGATTGGCATACCTTCTCCAGCTATCGTCTCGACATGGCCAGGCTGGACGACCTGGCCACGCTTGCGGCTAAGGCGAACCACGTGGTTGTCCAAGTGCGTCAGGTTACGGGTCCAGTCACCCATCCAGGCCTCCCGCAGCGACAACACCTCGGTCCAGAATAGATGGTCGCCCTTTCGGCGGAAGAAGACACCGTCCACCCGCTCGGGGTTCTCGTCGTTGGCCGGGTCCTTTTCGCTGAGATGGACAATCAGATCTCCAGTGATGTAGTCGGGGCTCTCATCAGCCTCGTTCTCATACACGACACGGGCGCCGTTCTTGGCGCCGCGCTCAACCTTGAGGTCGACAGTTGTCGGCTTCCTCTCCACACGCTGGCCCTGACAGTGGGGGCACCTGTGCTTGATCGTCTTGCCACGGCCGCCGCAGGCGTCGCAGTGTCGCTGCATCTGCTGGAACATGCCGGGGGCCAGCTGCTGCTTGATGATTCGAACACCTCTTCCACCACATGTGTTACAGGTCTCGACCACGCCGTCTGCGCTTCCTGACCCGTCGCATTTCTCGCAGATGTGTTGCTTGTTCCACTCAAAGTGAGTGTTGGCACCGTTGTAGAAGTCTCGAAGGCTGATCTCGACCCTGAACTCCTGGTTGGGGCCGTGTGGCTCGCGGGATCCTCTGCCTCCGCCACCAAAGAAACGGCTGAAGAGGTCAAAGGGGTCGTGGTGTTGGCCGCCGCCCTTGCGGTGAGACTGTACTCCATCGTGACCGTAGCGGTCGTAGATCTCACGCATCTCCTTGTCGCTCAGGACTTCGTACGCCTCAGAAACTTCCACGAACTTGTCGTGAGCTGTGTTGTCGCCGCTGTGCATGGTACATATCATTAGTTTACCAACCA